TACACTAGAACACATATAACAGAAAGCAAGAAAGAAATTGGTTTCTAAGGATACGATGAAGTTGCTATATAAGCTATGGACCAATCTTTCTTGCTAAGTGAAAAAAATTAAACCCTATCCATCTTTGATCCACTGTCCTTTGACTTTTCTGGCTATAAGAAATTAAGTTCTGCCTACAACAGTTTTAAGAATTAACGTTTCATTTCTAGATCCTTCCTCTACAAGTATTACTATCTAATTGAAAACTAAGCAAAAATGAAAAATTCTGAAACTATATAGTGAAGAAATTTTTTTAAATATTTTTAAAGCTAACTTTGAAAAGTCAAGGAGCCTAAGATATACATCCACAATGCTAAGAAGGAATAAATATGAAAGTAGTAATGTCAGGCACCAGTGGTTCACACCTGTAATACTAGCTACTCAGGATGATGATATCTGAAGATCGTAATTCAAATCTGTCCTACGTAGGAAAGACCATGAGACTCTTATCTCCAATTACTCACCAAACATCCAGAAGTAGAGCTGTGGATCAAATGGTAGAGTGCTAGCCTTGAGAAAAAAAGCTCAAAAAAGCTCAGTACTCAAACCCTGAGCTCAAGCCTCAATACGATCACACACACACACACACACACACACACACACACACACACAAACCTAGCGGAAAAAATTGATGTTGCAGAATAGTAGTTAATTATCAACTTGTCAAGTGACAAGTGAATTACATTAAGGCATGCCTTTTGATTCTAAATTAAGACACAATACAGAGAAATGTGCAGAGAAAGACCTTAGATCTTATAGCTTTGGGCTATATCCACAGCCAAGGTTGAAATGAGAAAAACAACAGCATTTAGAAAAAGAACACAGAGGCCACACAGCTCACCATGGGAGCTTCCTCTACAGAAGATTGGTGTTAAATGAAACTCAGGAGTGCAAAAAGGAAAACAGCATGCTAGAGTGGAGGCCTCACAGGATGCTGGGCAGGCCAAGGGACACAAAGCCCCGAAGCACAGTGTCTGCTGAGCAGACCTGAATTGCATTTGTACCTGATTAAATGTTCCTGAAAACAAGAGTGATAAGGTGATCTGTATTTTATTTCTTCTATAAAATCATTTTTAGGAAGACCAACACAATGAATTAATCATATGAAGAAGATGGTTGTAACACAAACTATTCTCTTATATGGATGGGGAATTCCATTTCATTATATTGAACACTTTTCAAAAGGGGTTGAATCTTAAAACGTAACATAAAATTCTCACTTCTCTACTTCTGAAGTTACTTCATGGCCTACAACATTCCTTGCAAATGTAGCAAGTATGAAGTATGCAAAAGTAATTGAAAACATAATTGGCAAAGCACTGTCAATATGACAGAGGCGTGTAACATGTCTTGTCCAAAGTCAATATATGAACATCTGGCCTCTGAACCTTTTATGCTTTTTACAAAAGAATATGAGGTTTATATTGTATTTATTTTATAATTTAGGATGATTGATTATTTTTCTAACTCGGGCTTTAAAATGCTTCCTTGATGTACTAATCTAGAGTTCTAGGTATAAATTATCTTCCCATCACACACACACTTGGCTGTTACAATTGCTTTCTACATAAAATGTGTCTATACTAGAACATATGGGAGTTGGTGGAGGTGCAGAGGAAGATCAAAGGATTTGCCTAAGCCAAATCTAGACTTGAATGGTAACCACACACACCATAAGGCAGTTTAATTAACATATTAATTTCAGGATGTAACACGTATCTAGTCACAAGACCTCAATTCTATTTCTAGCTTTTCTACTGACCTTCTGGTTGACCTTGCATAAGGCATTCAACACTAAAGAAACTCAGTCTTCTCATTTACAAAAAGCAAACAAGAAAAAGAGAGGGGAAGGAAGGACTGAAGGAAGGAGGAAAGGAGGAAGGAAGGAAGGAAGGAAGGAAGGAAGGAAGGAAGGAAGGAAGGAAGGAAGGAAGGAAGGAAGGAAGGAAGGAAGGAAGGAAGGAAGGAAGGAAGGAGAGAAACCTACTATCTACCAGTTATTAGGGAATAAAAAGTGTTACTTGGAACAAGATTCATGCAGAGAGTTTAGTGAGTAATATGATGAAATTATCACTAGAAGTTTGACTTCATTGCATCAATGAAATCAAATCTGAATAGAATTTTAAAAAGTAATGAAAAAACTTCTTCCATTCTACTTCATGGTGTCTACCAAATACCTTGTACCTCAAAGCTTATTTTTAAAAATATCAAGTTCCAGAAGGCTCCCAAGAGAACCTTGGGACCATTTCTATCAGACACAGACACCCTGGCTGTTAAGAAAACCACTCCCCAGAGCTATTGAGCATTTGCAGATACTCTTGGCCTTTCACATGGTTAGAATTCCAGTTGGAAAATTAAATCTCAAGAGCTACTCATTCAAGAATGAGCAAACTTCATGCCAAGACAGTGGAAAAAGTACCTACCTTCTTGAAAAACTGAGAGATCACTATCATCAGTTTAAAAAATTCTAAAATATTTATATTTCTAACACTAATTGCATAACATAAATTGCAAGTGTGTGAGATAAGTAGACAAGCAGAAACAGATAAGTTGATTTTAGGCGAAAGGAATCCCAAGATAAGGACTTGAATTTTTTTTTCTTGCTTGCTATTGTTTTTAACATATTTATAGGATATTTCTTTGTTGCTCCCCCACGGTATAACCCCTGTTTTCACTGTATTTGATGTTGGTATAATTTGTGGAGGGGAAGGAAAAAATTGTTTAAATAGGGATACAATTGGATCCTTTGCAACAATGAGATGTACAAGACATTATGTCGAAAAACAAACTTTACAACTTTGGTGCGGGTTGTGGGGGTGGGAAGGGAGAAGATGGGAAGGGATGGGAAGGGGAAACAGGAGGAGACAACAATCCTTGATAAGATATGCACTCATTACCTTGCTCATGTAATTGTAACCCCTCTGTACAGTATTTTCACAATTAAAAAAAAACTGCAAGTGTGAAAGCATTTCATATCTTGAAAGCAAAACAAAACAAAACAAAAACTTAGTCATGGTGTGGCCAAAAAAGATGGATGTATTTTACTCAGAAAATTTCAGTCCTGAAATAAAAGGATAGTAAGCATCTCAGATCAAATGAATAAAAAGATCTTTTGGGGGTTAAAATATAGGAGAAAGAAAGAACACCAAGGAGTTGAGTAAATCTTAATGTGCTAAGTTATATGGACACAGCAAAAGTGAGACCGGGAGTTGGCATTGCAATTTTTGACTTCTATAATTATTATGATGAAAATCTGACAAGAAGTTTATTAAGACAGCAAGAAAGGTCACAATGAACTCTCTAGTGGCCAAATTGGATCTGACATCAGTGATAATCACAGCTTTCCAGAGTAATCTTCTTTTTCTTCTTACAAATCATTTCTAGAGGCTGCTTTCCAGCCAAATTTTATTCATAGGAATTTCATCTAGACAACTGCTGGTGGTGCCTAAAAACAATAGTGTTCTCTCCAATTGTTTTATACTCTGTCTAAAAAAGTTAAGAGTTTAAATATTTTACTATAACTATAAAGTCATATAATGTACTATCTGATTCACATAATTTTAGATACAAATACAACTAAAGAGCTGATTCACTCAAAACTTGTCAGCTGTTCCCACATGGGTAAGTTATAAAAACTGACCCAAGGTCCCTCAGTTAGTAAATGGGAAAATGGCATGCTTTCCATCAATCCAAAAGAAATCACATGATGATAAAAGTTTCTTGGTCAATCTAAATGGCAATACTAACTGGCTTAAGAGCTCAAATGCAGGAATGAGGATTCTAATGTATGTTAACATATTTTACACCTTCTATTACCTAGATTGTTACTAAGGCACATCTAGGTCCAATTCAAATTAAGATCTAAACGCAGGCAAAATATTTTAGCAAGTCTTCTTGAAGTGAGAAAATGTTTTCAAGAAAGAACACAAGTGGGCAACAGGAACATGTAGCTACACCAATGTCAAATAAAATGTGTTTATAAATACTTCACTAGACTAAAAACTCAATTGAAAAGGTAAAAATTTAATAAAAAGGAGAGATTCCTTAAAAAAAAATTAAACCTTAATTGCCCGATCTGTCAAGTTTCAAGAAAATAAAAACATGACCTCTGAGTTAATGGAATGCACTGTTAATATTTAACTGTTAAAAGTTGAGCACAGAAATCAGTATTATAGCGTCTACTGTCACCACAGCATTGAGAAAGCACATTGCCAAGAACATGTGTCACATCTTTCCCTAAGGAGTTCAAAGCAGTGCATCTTCATTAGTGTCTTACATGGTATATTTACAGAAGTGGAATATTGCTCCACTTCATGGGTATAGTTAGCCATAAAAGCAAGGCATAAAAGTAGTCTTTGCAAGAAATAAAAGCTAATAAATATTTCTTGCACATGGGATCGATTACATTAATAATTAACAGGAAGCCTTTTCTTTTCACAGAGAAATTTAGTGGAAAGTTTTCTTAAGCAAATAGAAGCTAAATGGAAATGGGTAGAATCTTGAGGGCAATGAACTGGTTTTTAAACAGTCAAACAATTATATAGTCCCTTCACAATAAAGAGATAAAGGCATTATAAATTATACTTAAACAACAACAAATAGTCCCTAAGTAAACAGATATAAAACCTAACAGCTAGTAGATTTCCTAGTGAAATAAAGGTAAATAGTATCTAAGGTAACAGAAAGACAAGAGGCAAAACTTCAGCACAGTTTAAAAGTCACAAGGCCCTGAAACTGAGAACGAACTGCTTTAACATAGAGTTTTTAAAAAATTACATCCTGATGAAGTATTTTCAGTTCAATTCTAATAATATATCCTTTCATTGTACAGTGATACAGAGTTTCAATGAGCTCTTGTCCTTCTCAAGAATATGGAAGTTTTAAATACAGTAGCAAACTCACAGCAACAGAGGGGAAAAGGCAGTAGGAAAAATGTTAGAAAGGCAAAAGCAACCACGTACCCTTTTCTGCAGGACTATTGGCGTTATTGCAGGCAGAGTGACTCTCCTTGCACTCAAACTCATTCTGATCTTGCTACAAGGATATCCCGCCACAGATCATGAGCGAAATGAAAGAAATTTTTAACAGTTGTTCCCTGGGAATCTCAAGGCTCAGTGCAAAAGGAACAACTAGGGAAGTAATAAATGTCACTCTGTTTCTGTGATACCAATCTACCCAAAGCCCAATTAAGGATGGCTGCGGGACAGGACAGAGCAGCAACCAATCACCACCCGGGAAAAGTCTGCCTTTGTCCTTGGGAACACATTCTGATACTTTTGTTTATGATATTTAAAGAACCAGATTAACAGACATTCTAGCTCACTTATTTTTTTTCCAAAACAGTGTAATTCAATGCCATCTTTGTTGATGAGACATTTATGTTTTCACTGAGAATTTCAACATATGGCAGATAAGAAACTGTTTACCCTGGTCTACTTAGAGTATATAAATATGTAAATGAGCTTAGTTGACTTGTACAATTCATAAAATTAATGAATCAGTCAGTTGTAATATATTAAGTCACAAAAATAACTCTAAAGTTAGAATTGACATAAAGTACAGACTTACATGTAATATTTTTAACATTAATACATTTATGTACTAAGCAGCTAAAATTTTTATTTTGTGGACCTTATAGCCATCCTAGAGATATGACATTGGTTCAATACTACTTGGTAAATAACATCCTAACAAATTAAATGATAATTTTAAGGGGCACTAAACTACAATATATGAACATTAAGCACATTTTTAAAAGCATAAATTTATGTACATTTCATTCTATTAAAAAGACTTAAAATAGCCCCCATTGAAAGCTATTTTAGAACTTTTATTATTTTGTTTTTTATCACAATAGGTAAAAATGTTATTATTCTAATAATTTTGAGAATGAAAATATTTATCACTGATAAACTTTTCAATAAAGCCCAAACATAAAATGGCACTAAAGAATTACCAAAACAGTAAGTATTACCATATTAAAAAGTAATCCAAGGGCTGGGAAGGTGGCTCAGTGGTATAGTGCTTGCCTTGCATGCATGAGGCCCTGGGTTCGATTCCTCAGCACCACATAAGCAAAAAGAAAAAAAAAAGCCGGAAGTGGCACTGTGGCTCAAGTGGTAGAGCGCTAGCCTTGAGCTGAAGAGCTGAGGGACAGCGCCCATGCACAGGGTCAGGCCCCACGACCGGACCCCCCCCAAAAAAAAAAGTAATCCAAGTTTTTACAGTTGTAAAATCCCTCTGGACTGACATCTACTCAGTGGTTCTCAACCTACTGGACCTACTCAGTGCTACTCCACTACAACTCATTGAATAACCCACCCACCCACCATCTTCAGCAGGAAAGAAACTCCTCATGGTCTCTAAATGAACATGTGTTCCTTATGGTAACATAATATGGGAGAGGCAAGATGGGAGAGCCACCGCTACCCACAAGCCAACTTTTATTCATTGTCCAGATTGCTACTTAACTGACTTACAGTAGAGTATTTATTTTATTTATTGCCAGTAAGGACTTTAACTTGTGTTGAGGTTGTGCTAATACTAGGGCTTGAATATGTGCTCTTTATGGTAATCAGACAAGATGGAAGAACTTCTGCTACCCACAAGCAAACTTCCTCTTCATTATCCAGACCACTATTTCACTGCCTTACACTGGACTATTTTATTTTAGTTTGTGACAATATTAAGGCTTGAATTTAAGGCCTTAATCTCCTGTTTAGTTTTTTAGTTTTTTTGCTTTTGGGGGTATTTTTTTGCTCAAAGCTGGTGCTCTACCACTTGAATCACATGTCTACTTCCAGAGATTGTTGTGAAATTGTATTACATACTGCAAGACAACCTGGCTTAATTCGCTGAAAACTGTAAACCCTTAAGTCAGGCAAAACCCCAACAACTGGGATCAAGACATTTCAATTTAAGGATTACAGTATTCATTGTACTACATTGTACTATATCATTTTTACAAAATGGCATCTTCAAACAGACCTGATGTTTAATATACATGTGCATTTACTTCTTTCACTAAGGTACTTAACACACACACACACACACACACACACACACACACATACACACACATTGAAGTCCTTACTATGTATAATATAGCATGTTATTTTCCATAGGAAATTCCAAGTTAATCATTTCTTAATCCCTTTTTGTATATATTTTATTGTAAAAATACTGTACAGAGGGGTTACAGTTACATGAGTAAGGTGATGAGTACATTTCCTATTCAGTGTTGTTACCTCCTCCTTTGTTTTTCCCCTACCATCCCTTCCCTCCCCACCTCCCCAACTTCTCCCTCCCCACCCCCCCAAGCTGTAAAGTTTCTTTTCAACATAGTGTCTTGTACATCTCATTGTTACAATGAGTCATCCTGTAACCTTATTTCAGCATTTTGTTATTTCCCTTCCCCTCTCCAAATTAGAAAAATGTATATACAAGATTCAGGGCACTGGAATCAAATACAATGAAAACAGGGGGTATATCATGGGGGAAGAACATACAAAAGAAACAAAAAACTCACATGGTACATTATAAGTGCATTAAAAACAAAAGCTTTTAAGAAAGACAAAATCACTTGTTTCCCTATCTTGGGGTTAATTTCGCTTAGCATCATCTTATATGGTCATATGCACATAGCTTTTGAGCTTTTCTAGTTATTGCAAGTAACGGGAACCATGGGACCTATGTTTCTTTGGGCCTGGCTTACTTCACTGAATATAATTTTTTCCAAGTCTTTCCATTTCCTTTTTATTAAAAGATCTGACATACAACCACAAATAAACAACCAGTCAACATGGTATAAAGTTGGGATCTAAGTACCAGCCTAAGTACCCCTATTCCAAGACCATATTTCAAGCATCTTCATCCGCTCATCTCCAACAAAAGTTTCCTGCAGCTCCTCAAAACATGTTCTGTATCTTCTCTTCTGTGTATAATGTTTATTAAGTCAAAATCCCTGGCCTCCACCAATCTTCAATGGCCAAGTTATACCACACCTCTTCTCAAAGTCTCAGTTTTCAAGTATCCTTCAAAGATTTCTCTCTTCATATACAAGTTATGTTATGATTGAAGAAGAGAGAGAGAGAAAGACAGAGAGAGATGTAAAGAAATAGAGTGGTAGGACTTTACTGGGCACTGGTAGCTCTTGTTTGTAATCTCAGCTATTCAATAGGCTTAGATATGAAGTTCACAGTTGAAAGCCAGCCCAGGTAAGAAAATCAGTGAATAACCAACAAATTAACCAAATTACCAGCAAAGCTGGAAGGGGAGTTGGGATTCAAGTAGTAGAGCATCAGCGTTGAGGGAGGAAAAAAAGATCATAAAGCTCTAAGGTGAAGTCTCAGTACTAGCATAAAAAAAGACTGCAATCTAGACTTTGCATGTTATTTTCCTTTTTTATAACAATCCTTCAAAGAAAGTATTATTTAATCACATTTGACAGACTGAAACCATGTATGTCCATTCTTTGTCATCAGTTTGTTCTTCATCATATACTCGACTATTCAGACGTCAGCTACTGGATCCTACTTTCATTTTGATGATCAGTTGCTTTAGGGAAGGGGCATGTATAACTTTTAACCATCACATTTTCTTTTTTTGTATGTTTTTTATTGTAAAAATGCTGTACAGAGGGGTTACAGTTACATGAGCAAGGTAATAAGTACATTTCCTATTGAGCATTGTTACCTCCTCCTTTGTTTTCCCCCTACCATCACACTTTCTACCTTGTACACTACATGGTAGGTACAGGAGCTATAAGGTAGAAGAATAAGTCTTCATGACCAAGTTCTACACATTCATTTTAACCAATCAATCTCACCTTACACAAATCTCACCTTGCTGAGTTCTCCTAGCTGTTTCCATATACTGTGTCGCTGTGCTACTCATTTGTGTATCCATGTCCATTATCCTGCACACTGACTTAGATTAAAAAAATCTACCCACCAAGAAGTCATCATTCCTTAAATACCATGTCATCCTTTGTCATGTATTCTTTTAGGACTTAATCGTCATTCCTCATGTTTTCACTTGTGCTGAATCATTTCACAGGATCTGGTTTTTCTTCCCTAAAGTGGAAACATCCTTAAGGGAAAGATCCCAGCTCTTATTTCCTCTGCTTCTCCCAGAACACCTAGCAGAGTACTCTCTTTATATGGTCAGCATTCTGTTCATACACAATTAATGTGGAAAGACTAGTCACTCCTTTCTCATCTTAACAATTGTTATTAGCCATATGATTTATTCTGAACAAAAGTACACAGTCTTCTGCACAGGAACATTTGGACATTATTTTACTCTCTGATGTAGTTCATTTAGTGGATACCACTGTGACTGCTAAGTCAATGTGCGGTCTTGAGAACACCAGGCTCAGATAAATCTTGCATTTTTGCTGCAATTGATCAATAGTGATCTCTAAATATATATTCAGAGCCTCTAGTCCTACAATTTCACAAAATAAAAACTGTCTTTTTTCATAGAAATCACTGTTAAGCCCCAGTGATGACAGAGACCAGACCATAGAGTCAAGTATTGGAAAATGTGCTTACCTGTTCCATACCTGAAGTTATATTGAAGGCCTATAATCCCCACCTATCAAGGAACTAATGTCCAAAGAAGGAAAGATAGACCCTTAACATACTTAAAGCTAGGTGTTGTGTTAGAACTGCTATAAATAAAGTGTTAGAACACTAAGAGAAAGAACTTAATTTCATCATGCAAAGTGAACCATGTTCCCCAAATAGATCAAGGATTCAGGAAAGAAGGTAATTACAGGTTTAAAGCAAACAATGTACAAAGGTGATTCTGGGGGATGTGGGGGGACCATGGAGGGAAGAGCAGATGAGAAGAGTCATTCTAATCTCATCCCTGAGAGTAGAAATATTTAATGAGATAAGGATTTTATCATTGTACAGAAAATGATTTATGCTTTTTTTCTATGACTATTCAAAAAAAACAAGGAGACCATTAGGAATATGTAGAAGAGTATAATAGAGAAATAGAAATCCCCTGAGTAAGAAGGAAACAAACTTTCAGAAATTTTAGGGAGGTAGAATCTGCACTATTATCTTTTGTAGGCAAGCTTTAGACATAAGGTATAATCAATAAAACTAATGGATGGAAAAATATAAACTTCT